AGAGAACTCCATTATTGTCAACACTAATCTCCTCCTTCCTATTCTCATCGGGGAAAAGGGGTCCGATGCTGTGATCGACCACCCCCTTTTTTCCTCTCCATCGATGAAGGGAGGAAGCAAAGGGGGAGAAATAGTGAAGAAGAAACTTCAAGAAAAGCAACAGTGAAACTGTGCACAGCCATACGTGGCTCCGTTCCCTCTACTCTTCACCTCTTTGTGGAATAAAGGGGAAGAGGTTGGGGTAGATCGGCGTCCTGTCACGAACGGTCGTCGCGCACCTGCAACAACTCCATTTAACAAACCGTTCATTGCTCTCATCTATATGTACAGCTGCTTGGCAGCATATTTTGGCTTGGTTTTAAGTCCTTTTGCTTGTAAAAATATAAGTTCGAACAAGTTGTAGCGCTACATTGCGACCGCTCACTGAACTGAGCAAAATAGCCCCGAAATAGCTCCGTTTTCATGTGCCACGGGCTGATTTCTGCAACTCGCTACTGCATACGAAACGTCAACCATCTCAGCAGCCTGGAACCACTCGAGTGGCATAGGACTGGATGGGGTTTCGATATAGTGTTGGGCATTGAACACTCTTTCGCAAGTTCACACATTACCTTGATGGGAACTTGTTGTCGTGCCCGGCACCCGATGAGCAGCTGTTTGTGGACTTGTAGCTATTTGTTCAACCTTCTAAAGTCCTTATTTTTCTCCTATCCCTCTTTTCTCTTGTGCACGCAAGGTGATCGCTGAATTGCTTGTAAAGCTTCCCCTTTTTGTGAGATGTTAGGACTTGTCCGTTGCTCGTTCTTCGAACTAATCAACTTTTTCTTTTTACAGGTCCTTCGGGATTGGCGAAAGGTTACAAGTGGGCTGATCTTTACGGATGCAAATTGCAAAGGCGAAGCGCGACTTAGGCAATGCAAGCTAAGTTCGCGTCTTTGCCGCAAGGGTGCCTCGCGACTTAGGCAACGCAAGCTAAGTTCGTGACATTGTGGTATCAGAGCGGGCAAGTACTTCGAGCGAACAATGAAGGAACTTTCATCTTTGCTATGGCAAAGTATCGTGGTGAATCAAGCAAGATGAGGCAAGCCGGACCCTTGCCAGATAAGGAGCTCTCGCCACGCCCGGAGGGACCCATCGAGCGGCACATAGATGTCATAACCGGCAGGCCAGCGTCCGGAGGGAACTCCATGGCGGGCGGAAAGGCATACGCCAGGGCCTCCCGAGCCGAAGCTTCCAAACATGAAAAAGGCCCCGAAGTCACCTTCCCGACCGGGGGACCCGAGCCAGCCGAACATGATGACGCGTTGGTGATATCAGCCAGAATCGCCAACGCGCAAGTAAGAAGGATCATGGTCGACACTGGAAGCTCGGCCGATATACTTTATTGGGACACCTTCCAAAAGCTCGGCCTGGTAAAGGAGAACATGAAGCCGGTATGCTCAACGCTCACGGGGTTCACCGGCGCCTCAATCTCGTCACTAGGGGTTATCACCCTGCCCCTAACTTTGGGAGTTTTCCCGAGGACAAAAACAGTGATGACCTCCTTTCTAGTGGTCGACCTCCCCACGGCATACAACGCCATCCTCGGACGGCCAACCCTCAACAAGATCCGAGCCGTCATCTCAACTTACTACCAAACCATCAAGTTCCCGACCCACGATGGGGTCGGAGAAGTAGCGGGGAACTCTTGGGAGTCCAGGCATTGCTACTTAACCGTCGTGTCGCTAAACAAGAGAGCGAGGGTCCAATCCCTGCTGGAGGACCCCGGGAGGGAAAAAAACTGACCCCCCGCCCCGAGCCGAAGGAATCCACCATCGACTTGCCGCTGATCAAAGGCAGGCCCGACCAAACAGTCAAAATCGGGTCAGGACTGCCCGAACAGGAGCAACAGCAGCTCGTCGGTCTTCTGCAAGCCAACACCGACATCTTCGCTTGGACGCCATCTGACCTGGTAGGAGTCCACCCGGAAGTCACGCAACACCACCTAAACATCTCGTCCGATGCCCGTCCGGTGAAACAAAGGCCCAGGCGGCAGGCCCCAGATCGGCAACTTGCCATCCGAGAAGAAGTAAGCCGACTTCTGGCGACCGGTTTCATAGAAGAGGCCAAGTACCCACAATAGCTCTCCAATGTAGTCCTTGTCAAAAAGCCTAATGGAAGCTGGCGGATGTGCATTGACTACACCAGTCTCAACAATGCTTGCCCAAAAGATTGCTACCCCCTACCGAAGATCGACCAGCTAGTCGACGCCACAGCCGGCCACGCCCGTCTCTCGTTTATGGATGCCTTCTCCGGGTAAAACCAAATCAGGATGGCACCCGAAGACCAAGAACACACAGCTTTCCTCACCGAGCAGGGGATATATTTTTACAAAGTCATGCCGTTCGGGTTGAAAAATGCCGGGGCCACCTACCAGAGGACGGTGAACAGGATGTTCGCCCACCAGATTGGACGAAACATGGAGATATATGTCGACGACATGATCGTGAAGAGCCGAACAGCCGAAGCTCATTCTTCCGACCTGGCTGAAACATTTGACACCCTGCGAAGGTTCGGCCTGCGCCTCAACCCTGCCAAGTGCGCCTTTGGCGAAACCTCGGGAAAATTCCTCGGATTCATCATACACGAGAGAGGGATTGACGCCAACCCGGAAAAGGTCCAGGCTATCATAGACATGCAGCCCCCTCGGACGATCAGAGACCTGCAGCGCCTTAACGGGAGGCTAGTCGCCCTATCACGTTTCCTTTCCCGTTCGGGAGATCGCTGCCTCCCCTTCTTCAAGGCCCTGAGGGATCCCAAGAACTTCCGATGGACGACGGAATGTGAGAGGGCCTTCGAGCAGATGAAGCAACACCTGGCCAACCTCCCCCGACTCGCCTCAGTCTCCCCAGAGGAAAAATTGAGTCTCTACCTCACCGCCTCCCAGCACGCGGTCAGTTCGGTTCTAGTCAAGGAAAACTCCGGCGACCAACTGCCGGTCTACTATGTCAGCCACATGCTAAGCGGGCCAGAGGGACGCTACCCGCCAATCGAAAAGCTGGCGCTGGCGCTCGTCCTGTCGGCACGAAAGCTCCGCCCTTACTTCCAGGCCCACCCGATAGAGGTAATAACTGACCGGCCGCTTCGGCTCGTTCTGTCTAAATTCGACGTTGCAGGGCGCCTCCTCAAATGGGCAGTGGAGCTCGGCGAGCACGACATACAGTACACGCCTCGGAAGGCCAGTCCGTGGCAGACTTTATCGCGGAGCTGACCCCGAGTACAGGCGAAGAACTCGAGCCGCCGCATGACACGTGGACTCTCCACGTAGACGGGTCGGCCAACGCAAAGGGCGCCGGCGCAGGGCTGGTGCTGGTGACACCTGACGGCCGCTCGATTGAGCGCTCCTTCCGCTTCGGGTTCAGGGCCACCAACAATGAAGCAGAATACGAGGCTCTCCTAGCGGGGCTCCGATTGGCACTGGAGATGCGGGTGACCGACATACGCGTAATCACCGAGTCACAGCTGGTGGCTAGGCAGCTCGACGGCGAATACGAAGCCCGGGACCCGACCATGGTGAAATACTTGGCACAGGTAAAAAACCTTGCCACCAAGTTCGTCCATTTTGAATTGTCGAATGTTCCCAGGAGCGAGAACCAGCGAGCCGACACCCTGGCAAAACTGGCGTCCGGCTCGGCCCCCAGGGCTCGACCCGAGACCGAAGGGCTCCCCCACCGAGCCATAGAGGTCGTCACCACAGTCACGGACGGCGCGCCGGCCACTTGGGTGCAGGAGATGCTACGCTTCAAGTGGGACAGAACCCTACCCGTCAACGAAACCGCGGCTCGACGCTTGCGTCGGACGCAGGCATGGTACTCTGAAGAAGGAGGATGGCTGTACAAGCAGTCTTTCTCGCGCCCCTTGTTACGCTGCCTAGAGCCGAACGAAGCTCGGACAGTTCTGTCCGACATGCATGAAGGGGCCTGCGGGGAACACATAGGCGAACGAGCCCTGGCGCACAAGATGCTCCGACAGGGATACTACTGGCCGACCATGCGCCAGGACGCGAAAGCTTTCGTTCGGCGATGCCGCTCATGCCAGGAGCACGCCCGCACCGCCCAACGGTCGGCGGTCCTGTTCACCCCCGTCGACTGTGCTTGGCCATTTGCGCAGTGGGGGCTGGACATACTCGGGCCTCTCCCACCCGCCTCTGGCCAGCGGAAGTACATCATTGTAGGAGTGGACTACTTTACCAGGTGGGTCGAAGCCGAGTCCCTAGCAACCATTACGGAGTCACAAGTGGAAAGGTTCGTGTGGAGAAACCTCATAACTCGGTTTGGTCTGCCCTAGTCCATCGTCACCGACAATGGACCTCAATTCGCCGGCAGGAGGTTCCAAGAGTTTTGCGCCGAGCACAAAATTTAGCTGAGATTCAGCTCGGTGGCTTACCCCCAGGCGAACGGGCTAGCTGAAGTAACCAACCGGTCTATCGTCGACGGTCTCAAGAGGAGGGTGTCCGCTGCCCGATCGGCTTGGATCGACGAGCTCCCGAGCGTCCTATGGGCGCTGCGCACTACCCCCAAGACCCCGACCGGGGAGTCTCCCTACAGCCTCACGTTCGGGACCGAGGCCGTATTACCATCCGAAGTAGCCGTCCCAACTCCGCGGACAGCAGGCTACAGCGAGGAGGCCTCGGGTGAAGGACTCCGATCCAACCTGGATCTGCTCGAGGAAAGACGGGCCAGCGCACACCAGAAAGCTCTTTCTTACAAAAGAGCCGTAGCAAGGGTCTACAACCGGAGGGTGCGACCCCGGTCGATAAAGATTGAGGACTTGGTCCTGCGCAAAATCGAGGTCAGCCACCCAACCCAAGTAAGGGGGAAACTGGCCCCGAAGTGGGAAGGACCCTATCGGGTCATCGGAGTATCCCGACCGGGGACGTTCCGACTCGCAACAATGGATGGCGACCCCGTGCCCCGGACTTGGAACATACAGAACCTTAGAAAATACTTCATCTGAAGACGTAGGCACTACGCAAACACAGAAATCAGAAGAAAAGATCATCTTATTAAAAAGGAGGGGATACAGAACCATAACCATGAGGAACAGAAACCAAAACTCATACAGAAAACCCCTCACACCCTCGACCTTGACTCCGACATACAAAAAACAACACTCATCACTCTCCTGGAGTCTTCGGGCGATCGTCGAATGGCACGTCCTCCGGCATGTCCACCTCCAGATCTACGGGATGGGAGGAGAAGGGATCCCTTTCCACCTCGGAGCCAGGAGGGCATGAGCCGAAGCGACCTAGGGCGATTCTGTATCCGTACTCGTAGGATACTCGCCCCATTCGGGTCAATCCGAGCTCGAAGTTCTCAGACTTCTTGTAAGCTTCGATCGCCTCTTTATCCTTCGACGGGCGAAGGCGAACCTCCTCGGCGAGCGCGTCCGAAGCTGCGCGGGCTTCAGCCTCGGCCTTTTCCGCCCTTTTGGTAAGGCCAAGCGCCTCCGACCTTAGTAGGCGTAGCTCCGCCCGATCCAAACGGAGAAACTCTTCGAGTTCCTTGACCGAACTGCCCGATTGCTCGAGCTCCGCCTTCAAGCGCGCCACCTCCTCCTCGGAGTCAGTCGTGCGCTTTTCCGCGGCCGCCACCGCCTCTGGCCCCGACGCGGCCCGAACTTCCTCTAGCTGACGGCACAGCTCGAAGTTGTGTTCGCTGAGGTTCCAGATTACCTGGCCAGCGTCACGCACTCGGTCGATCAGCGCCGTCGAGTAGTGGAGGCCCTGCCACAGAAGAAAGAGGGTCCGCGCACGGTCACAAAGACACTTGGAGTTAACAAAACACTTACCAGTGTCAGAAACCTCCCCGCCTTGTTAAGCATAGCCTCCGAGGGCAGGGTGTATAGGTCCCGAGCCAAGTCGGGGTGGAGCACGCCTCGAAGAAAAGCAGCCGAGGAATCTCCCTCGGCCCATACCTTGTCCCCCCGGGATAGCCCTTTCCAGCGGGCTACTAGCGGGTCGGAAGCCTCCCCCGGTAGAAGCTCGCCCATAACCAACGACCATAGAGGCTCGTCGGCCCCCGTGCGTAGCCCGCACAGGTCGTCCACCGTAGGCAGGCTCGACCTCTTCCCGGCCGCCCCTTGGCTATGTTGAATCTCAGATTTTGAAGATAAAACTAATTGATTGTGTTTAGATGTTTAACTGTATTTTGAGTGATGCAGGTCTACTCGATCAGGCTTAGACAGTTGACGCAGGAGGAATTGACGTTGCGTTGGAAGAGATCACGTTAGGATATTGGATGGCTGAATGCTTCGAACGTCGGGCATCGGGCCAAGGAGAGCGAAACTGTGCCAAGGATATCGGCATTGCGGAGGTCAACCGCTGATTGGGCAACAAGCC